TATAATTATTCTCAGATCTTGGCTGGGATGTTCGGTGTTGGAGCTCCTTCTGTAGGCTCCATAGTATTATTTGTTCTTTTATCATTACTCTTCTTACTATAACCCAATTGGAATTTAGACATTTACTTGTTTACTAGACCATAAACACCATGAGGGCAGAACATGTCAGGCTTTTTCATGGTCTCCCAATGTCTAGTATGTTGTTTAAAATTGAGCAAGGCATTACTAAACAGTGGTCCTATATGGTTAGTTTCTACATAGTTTTTCTTGTGAGCATCACCATATTACCATTAGATTATGGTATAAATCCTGCTGTTCTAGCTTCTTTTACTTTAGTCACTAAGCTTTGCATATAATAAAAATCTCAATAATTTTTAATAATTTGAAATAAACAAAAATAGTACAATGTCATATGTGGTATACATTTGATAGTTTAAGATAAACTTAACTAAGAAAACAATCTCTCATATATGGACTATATGTTTGAAAAGTGTTATTCAGCTTTTAAAATCTGTGGCACTTTGAAAAAGTTGTGATTAAGAAATGCTCAGTTTGATCTAAAGCTCATTTATGATTTCAATTAAGGTTTCTGATTTTTCTATAATTTGGCGGTTTAAAAAATACCAAACCCTATTCAATGTGTAATTTTTTTCCATATAAATATTTGTATGCTTCATTCATGAATACACTGTTTTGTAAAATTTAAACCAGTAATTCTCACTCTTATAGCTGTCTGATAATTAGATTAACTGCAAAGTTTCTGTCAGTACATATTTCTGGACCTCAACCATGGGGATTTTAATTTAGCTCATTAAGTATGTCTAGGATTGGGGAGAATTTAGCCCAAATGAATGTGCATACCTTTTTGTACAGTACTTCCCTCTAAGTTTCTTATTAAAGAAACTTGTTAAGAGTTGACATTTTCCCATAACCTATTAATTTTTAGAAACAAAAGCAAATGTGAAAGCACATGTTTCTAAAATCCCTGCATATAACTGATTACTCTTATAAGCTTCAATATTTATCATCTAATTTATGCTTGAATTTACTCTAAATTCTATTATCCAGTTGTATATTAAAACATCAAGCATAACTCCAATGTTATTGATAATTTGTAGATAGCTGAACCTATTTGTTAGGGGTTGAACTGTGTCTCCCAAAAGAAGATATGATGAAGTCCTAACCCCCAATATCTCAGAATGTAACCTTATTTGGAAATAGGGTCTTTGTGGATTTAACCAAGTTGAGGCCATTAGTGTGAGCCCTAATCCATTACGACCAGTGTCTTTACAAAAAGGGGAAATTTGGACATAGACTCAGACATGTGCAGAGGTAAAATGATAAGAAGAGATTTAGAAAGAATGTGATGTGAAGTTGGAGGATAGCAGTGAGGCATCTAAAAAGCAAGGAATGCCAGAAATAGTTGACAAACCACCAAACACTAGGAAGAGGCAAGGAAGGAAATCTACAGATTTCAGAGGGAATATATAGCCCTGCTGACACCTTGATTTCAGACTTCTAACATCTAGAACTGTGAGACAATAAATTTCTACTGTTTCAAGCCACCCAATTTTTGGTACTTTGTTACAGCAGCCCTAGCAAACTAATACACCAGTAGATGTAACTGTTCGTAATACAATTTGTTATCACTGAATCCTTAAAATGTAGTTTGGTTTTTAAAAACAAGCTTACTTAGTCAAAGGCAAAACGGAGGCAACCATCAGAAAATCTACCCCCCCCCCCAAGTGCCCTCTTTAGCAGTCTGGTGAAGCCTATGGACCCTTTCTCAAAATAATATTTTGAAATTTATAAAAGAAAAAAAACCATTGGATTATGAATGAATTCCAATACAATGAAATAGTCAGAATTTAAGAAACACCAATTTGTGATGTAGTGATATCATGTACTTCATTATCAACACATTAATAATAAGATTTAGAAGTCTGTTAGTGATGAGAACAAATGGTATTTTCAGATATCCGTAGTATGATGTGACAACATTTGTGACAAAGTCACAGTTACTGCTAATGCTAAGGCAGTGTCTTTCTTACACTCAGAATTTAAAGAAATGCTAAATTTCAGATAGAGATTAGTAAACATAGATATGTAATTTATTCCCAGCCATGTCTAAGGACCCTCTGAATTCTATCTGTGGAGCATTTGGTAGTTGGTGGATCCCAGGTAAAAAACTTTTGAAGAGGAAAGACTGTCATGAAATTGTTTCTATTTTCCATTTTGTGTTGGTGCCACTCAGTATCTCCTTTCTTGTGTGTCTCCCCGAACTGCGGAGGAAAGCTAAAGACCACAGGTCATAGACTCCCTTGCAGCTAAAGTTTTAACTGTGATTTAAGTTCAATCAATCAGCATTTACATAAGTTCTGAAAGAAGGAAGTGAAGTAGAAGCTATATGTATGCTGGCGAGCCTAGTATGTAGGACACAGTTGGGTTTTTGCAGCAATCTTATTACTGTTTTAGTGTCCACCACTAGATTACTGGGTGCCAAGAGGCAGGGTCCTGGTACATTTAGTTGGCAGGCATCCTAGTAAATGTGGCATGGTTCTGGACCTGGCAGCAAAAGTAGCATCCAGATCATGGCAATTTCTACATTGTGGGATTGGCAGTGTGGGTTTCTGATCGCCTTAAGTGCTTGGGTTTGGCTGTGTGGCTTGGAAGTCATTACTGACAACTCTAAAGTCTGTTTCCTCAATCCTTCCTATAGTTACGCAATCAACTTAATGCCCTGAAATATATCCCTTCTTGCTTTAACTAGCTAGAATGAATTCTGTTATCTGCAACTGAACTCTGACCCGTGCAGAATACAGTTTATATTCCCTTCTATAAAAGACCCATTTCCTCAAGAACTCCTTCTGACAGATGAGTTGCTTTCCATTCTTTACCAAAAAGTATACTTTCAACTTCAAACACCCGGGGGGGTGGGGGGTGGGCAAAATGGTAAACTGTCCACTGTTCTTTGACCAAAGATAAACATACTCAAATTTATATCACAAAAAGCATAATAGAAAATACAAAGAATAGCCTAGAATCTGTTCCAGTTCGCTTAGTTATAATCACCTCATAAGTCAGTTATTGCCTGATAGAGTAAAAATACTGGATTGTTAAAATAGAAAATATGCATAAATTATTAGCTATTTCTCCATAAATATAAGTGACTTGGCCTGCTTGTTATACCATTTGAGAATTAAGAAGATTCTTCTCCTATGTGAAAAGAATTTAATATTTAACCCTCAAAGTAAGCCAGGTGCTATTAGCTTGGTAGTCAACTTAGCCAGGAGGTATCACAATGAGGGAATAGTTGCTCTATTATTTTGGAGGCCAAAAAGAAAATCCTAAATTGTCAGAGAAAAGTTTTATTAACAAAATGAACTTGACTGAAAATACCTCAATGACTTCAGCAAAATGAAATCGATAAACAGAGCATGAAAATGAACTGGTGTGCCAAAGGTCTGGAGGTCTTAATTATGCTATTCCAAGTGAGAGTTCACCAAAATCCCTAGATTGGATTAGTCATTTTTTTTTCCTGTGATATACACACATACACAAAACAGGAAAAAATATATATTAACATAATTAACTACTATTAATACTATGTAAATATATTAATATAAAAATAGATATGTATTTTTTCCCCTCCTCCATTGCAACTCTGGGAGAGAGAAGGTACTCTTCCGGAAGTTAGAACTTTTATTATTTATTTATTTATTTATTTTTAAAAGATTTTATTTATTTATTTGAGAGAGAGCGGGGAGAGAGAGAGTGCGAGAGTATGAGCAGGGGGAGCGGCAGGAAGAGGGGGAAGCAGACTCCCCGCTCAGCAGGAAGCCCGACTAGGGCGTCGATCCCAGGGTCTTGGGATCAACACCGGAGCCCAAGGCAGACGCTTAACCCACCGAGTCACGCAGGCGTCCGGGAAGTTATAACTTTTAATATAGGGAACGAACTTGTGTGGTTTTAAAAAAATTTTTACCATTATATAAGAAAACTGAGTATGATTTTGTATCTAATCTCTCTGAACATATGTTTAAGTCTCAGGAAGGTGAACCCGCACTTACATCAGGATAATAACTGTCACTTTATCAAAACCCATTTAGCAAAACCCCATAAGCCAGATACATTTCTTAATCATGTGCAATTCCTTTACCAAACAGAAAGCAAAGATACTTAAAATCCAATCCGAGCACTGAAACCAAGAATAAGAAATGTAGCTTTAGAGACCCAACATTATTTTCTAGCGGTTCAAGCCCTTTTCGTTAATAACGTCTGGAAAGCCAATTTGACTGTGGCTCCGCACTTTTTCTGTCACCTTTTAAAATGAAAAAAATCTTCAAACTATTACACATTTCATTATCTTTAACACCCGGAAACAGCTTTAGAACACCAATTTTGTGAACTTTAAGTTAAAACTATCTTTATGTGGGTGATTTTGACAATAATGTGGCTTTAACACACAAAAAAGTAAACTCTGTAAAATTTTTACTTTTTTTTTTTTTTAAACCCTATTTTTAGCCCTTTGTTGCCGTCTAGGAATGAAGGCGTTTCTCCGCTTTCTCCGGTTCACTGCCGCGGACCGGATCGTGGAGAACTGCCCCGAACCTGCAGGAAGGCACGGCCTCTGCCTCTCCCGCCTCCATGTTGCCGGTCGGAGGGAGAAGGCAGCAAACAAAGCCCCGATCTCCAGGAAAGGTGCTCCGCGCTCCGGGCCCACGACACCCACGGATCACAGCCAGAAAAGGCGCTAGAGCCGGAGTGTGGCGGCCGAAGAGCAGCACTGCAGGCAGGTTCCCACACGCCCGCCAGCGGGCTTTTCCGAAGCCTCGGGGTTCGAGCTCGCCACAGCCTGCCCAGCCCTTCCCCACCTCGCGGCTCAAAGAAGGAGCGCCCCGCGCGGGGCTCTGTTCAGGCGGGTGCGGGCAGGTCACCGCGCGAGCCCGGCTCCCGCCCGCGCCCGCCCGGGGCTTCGCGTCCTCGCTGCCCGCACTTACCAGGAGAAGCAGCGCGGCACCCTCCGCGCTCCGCGCCATCGCGCCCCCG